TCGAGGTTATATACGACCAACGCGGTAACTACGATACGCGATTCTCAGGGAGTCTCGCACGCGCTCGTTTTCAAATCGTACGAGCAACTTTGGCTCTGATTCTGCTGGGCATGCTCTGTTTTTCTTTACCCTAATTTTGGGCAGTTAGAGATAGGGAAACCGCTAGATTAGACTATCCCTAAATAGCCCATTGGTCTGGCAGTGGGGCGACTTAGTTGAAAAGCAGCTTTGGCAATGACCCGACAATGGTCTGGTGTTTTACCAGGGAGGGGCTGTAATCATTAGGCGGCAGTTACTGTTTTTGCGCGCTGTGGTGTCAAAGTACCTCGTCAAGATTCCCGCCAACTTTTAGCAGTTGGGCGGGAAACCGTGGAGCTCGCAGGGGGGTCGTTCGCGCTGGCGGGAATTATGTACCATCGCATGAGGTCGCAAACCGTTTCCCGCCCAAGGAACAAGGTCACCTCAATGTTTTCTGGCATGGGTCACCCTCGCTATCGAACAGGGCCTTCGAATCGAAACCGTCCACTGACTCGGCCACAAGCACAAGGGAGGGATGAGCTTTCGCGCGAAAATTGAATTCCTGCTGATCATTGGGTAATCCCGCTGATTTTTGTTAGGCTGTCAGAGAACCCTGACAGTCGGAAGCAATTTGATTGGAACCTGAATCTTGCGCCATCGCGCCACCTGGTGTGCAGAACTATTCTCACATTGACGCTCACTGCAAATTATACCGTGCAGCACCCCATGGAACCCCACTGCAAAGACATTATTTCCGTGAAACGTTCTGCACCGCTCTCAAATGCCTCAGTCGTTCATGTTCGCTCCAGAGAAAGGCTGCTGAGATATCGTTACCATCCAGCAGACAAGCATTAGTTGTGCAATATGAGTCTCAACTCAGCAGACAAGCCTATTATTCAGCCCTTGGACATTCGCCTAAATCAAACGTCTTGGTCCAGCTTGTTTCTGCATTGCCTTGCTAGCTTCATCGTTCCATGGTATGGCGTCTTCACGAGTGTCGCTCAATCATTTTCCGGACGATCTTCTATCCATCGTTCTTCGTGAGGGATATAATCAGGCAGCTGCACATTTCTCCCTCGCGCTGGTCTGTAAGCGATGGTATCGCATCGTTTGCCTTACGCAAAAATCGATCTCCTTCAGGCGTGATGTCCTAACCACCCACGTTCTCAGGTCTCTTTCTCAGTTTAAGAACCTGACGTATGTGTCCATATTTGGGGCCAAGAATCCGGGTGACAAACTCCTCATCGGCCTGGCTTGTGCCTGTCCCAAGCTGATAGATCTGCAACTTAGCAGCTCTGGCCGTTCCGTAATAACGCGTACGGGACTAGATGCACTGTTCACGGCGTGCACTGACCTGCAGGTACTTTCCTTACAGATATCTGTGAAGATTCAACAGATGCCAGCTTCTTTCTTCGGTTTAACCTCATTAAGGGACGCCACGCTCAGCTTCGCCCTCGGCGAATTCCCGGATCAGTTCGGCGGCCTTAAATCTCTCGAGTTTCTTACGTTGGAATGCTTACACATCACGGATCTACCAGATTCGATCGGCCAGCTCACCTCATTAACCGAGCTGAGCATTTCCAACTGCCAGCGGCTTCAGGATCTGCCGGATTCCATCGGCGATCTTCGTTCGTTAAAGAAACTGGAGATTTTCCGTGCGAAGCCGTTAGAAGTCCTCCCTGACAGCATCGGCCAGCTTCACAACCTCGAGAATGTTCTTCTTTACCTCAACCGGTCCCTCTGCGAGCTTCCGGATTCCTTCTTCCATCTCCCGTCTCTCAAGGTTCTCAAGCTGTGGGAATTGAAAGATCTTCCAGAGCTGGAAAACGCTGTGTCGAATCTCGTAAATCTCGAAATGCTCCACATTGAGAAATGCTGGTTCACTTCGCTCCCGGATTCTCTCTGCCAGCTTCCCAACATCTGTCGCCTGATGGTCACCGACTGCTGGGCTCTCACCACCCTTCCGCGAAGCATCGGCGACGCATCTTCACTGCAGCGTCTGAAATTCTCCAACCTCGGAAGCTTGGAGTACCTGCCGGGTTCCATTTCGAAGCTGTCTGATCTCCGATCATTCGTCCTGAAACGATGCGGTGCCATCGAAGAGGTCCCGGCTTCTCTCTTCCAGGACTGCACGAACTTGAAGAAACTCGAGTTTGACTGGCCATACAACTGCGGGAATGGCGTCCGGGCTGGAAGAGTGTCTTCAGCTGAAGCGTTTGTGTCTAACCTTTGCGAATTATCCAGCCTGACATCCCTTGTCCTGTCTGGTGTTCCAGATCTCAGTACTCTTCCTCACCAGATTGGGAATCTCTCGGAGCTGGAGCAGGTGAAACTTCATTCTTGGCCCAAACTGGCGTACCTGCCTGATTCAATGTCCAAGCTCGTCGACCTCTACAATCTGGAAATCGTAACCTGCCCGACTTTCGATAAAAGGATCAATGCAATTCCTGGGCTTCCACGTGTGAAGATTGTACGGGAGAGCAGTCGAGAAGAGTGGGCAAGCGACGACGAGTGGGGAAGCGACGACGAGGGGCTGCTGTAGATGCAAAAGACTGTCTATGTATGCACGTGGTTGTGTTGTGTACCTAGTAGATGATTCATTGGCAAGGGATGATTCATGATATGATTCATTCCGTACCTAGTAGATGATGCCGTGGGTGTCAATGTGGATTGTATTCATTCCTGGCAAACCTATCCCTTGGCTTTTGTATTCATTCCGAGTGTTTGTCTCTTCCTTTACCATCCCATCGCATCTCATCCCATTCAGCACTCCCATCCCATCTTGCCCGTACTAAAACACACAACCAGGGCCTCACATTACACCTGTAGGGTACCGGTAACTCCACTGTTCCCATATTCACACACACAGACCAGGAACTCAGAAACTGCGAATCTGTGGTACCAGGGTGCTCACGAATCTTGAGTACCAAAACAGAAACCAGGCACCAAATTGTCTTTAATGGCATTTGGATGTCGTTGACTTGACCTTACCACAGCTCGCGTTTTAGAGCCAAGCACTGTGCAGCGTGCTCTTCACTTACGGGACGCCTAGACTTGCTTGTCCCACCTTTTCCTCGGCGTCCACCTGATTGTGATGAAGATGTTGGGGAATTCAAGAAAGTGGGTTGCAGGAATGGAACAGTGGGGAGAGGGAGGGGAGGAGCGGAGGGGAGAGAGTTGGTAAGGGGGGAAAGTGGGGTGGTATTGGTGCAAGAGCTACATCTGTGGCCATGTGTGCGTATGTAGACAATCTCGCTCATAAGTGAAAAGGCTTGTTTCAGAAAGTGACATGCAAGTGAGTGGGAGTGGTAGTGCGTGCATGTGAGAGTAAATGGCTGGGGCTGGGGGAAGGGGGCTAAGAGGGGACAAGGGGGTGGGGGATAGGGGGAAAGAAATGGGGAGGAAGGTGCAAAAACGAACAGCCATAGAGAAAAGATATGCACTTTCCTCCGCCTTTCATCCGCCCGTCTCATACATTCGGTGGATGTATGTCCTCTCCTTATGCCCAAATGTGGCACACCACGAACCAACCACTACCAGCTTTTGCATATCTTCTCCTTCTCCTCTTTTGCTCCTCCCACAGCACTCACTCTAAGCATGCCCTCCCCTTCACTCACCATCCATACCTGCTTAAAACAGCCATCCATTTCGCCATTCACTCTCCAGGAAACTCTCACCTGTTTCACGCCGAGGGCGTTTTCTACCCCTGCTGCTGGCAGGGCTGGGATGACTTGACCGGCCATGGGGTCCCCGTCTTGTACTGGCCGTCTGCGCTAACTTCTCTCGAATCGATGATCTCTCCCGGCGCTTCCCACTTGATGTCTTCTCTGGCCGTCTCTCGTTTCTACATGATTTGTTCGCGAGCCGCTTCTCCCGCATGCCGCGGGCCTCATCTCCCCTCGCGTGCTTCTCTGCAATGGCAGCGGCTCGATCCGCCTCGTTGGGCCACTTCTGGACGGATTCAAGGCAGCAAAGGGAACAAGCTAGGACGGTGAGTGGAAGATGGGTTGCGGGATGTAATCACGGCAGCCAATGGCAGCCACTCACGCCGCCTCGTTGGGCCATATCTGGACGAATAGGGGCCAGCAACGGGAACAAGCCAGGATTGTGGGTGAAAGAAGGGTTGCAAAATGTAATCAGGACAGCCAGTGACAACCACTCGATCCGTCTCATTGGGCCATTTCTGGACGAATGGAGGGGAGCATACGATGATTAGAAGCAGGGTTGCGGCACGTAATCAGGACAGCCAATGGAAGCTACCCGCTCCGCCTCATTATGGGCCACTTACAGACGAATATAAGGCGGCAACGGGAACGAGGCAAGTCACTGAGGGGATAGTCAGTGAAAGAGGCAGCAGATTGCATGTAGGCACGGTTGTGGCATCTAACTAGGACAGTCAGTGGTAGCGACTCACTCAGTCTCGTTGAACCATTTCTGGACGCATAGAAACGGAAAATCAAAGCTCGGAGGGTGGCAGGTTGAGAAAACCATTAGATAAATTGGCCGTTTCAGCCTTCAGGTGCTGCAGGATGGAGACCAGCTGATTGCATGCACATGTCTTCCCCAACCGACCTTATATTATTATGCATCTACATTTTCGTCCAGACCCCTTAACATTTAGACAAAATGCATGTACATATCTGAAACCGACCTCTTATAATCAAGATGGACAGACATGTTGAAATAAGACCAGATGAAATTACCTGTCGAAATGTCTTGTGCCTGTACAGTACTCTCCCTTTTACAAGCAGCTGCGTCATAGGAGCCAGCGCATGTAGACCAGAGCTCCAGATAACCTCCACCTGAAAGAAATCCCGCACAGATCAGAGCTCAATTGGCATTAGAGTAACAGTGACAGAGATATGTTGAGGTATGCAATTTGCATGATGATAGAGCAGATGCGTGGGCTTGTAACAAAACTGCAGATTGAGACTTACAAAGGCGTGCGTGTGTGCCTACAGTGAATGTGTGTTGCTGTTTCTTCACACCGTAGCTTTCACTGACCACTCTCCCTGCCACCGACCGATACCCTCCATGCATTGCATTCCTCTCGTGCCTGCATTGGTAAGATTTGCCATCAGGGTGTGTGTGTACAGCGACCATGCAGGCATCAGAAAAAGGCATCGAATAGGCGCTGCAATCGTAGTCATGCAGGCACCGATGGGCCATGAGTTGCGATCCAGAGAGGGAAATGCACGACTAACCATACGATCAGGTGAGATATAATGAATCGAACCTCATGGACAACCTTGAGTTGTAACACACCTTGAGACGGACCTCCTGCCTTACCTGAGGCGGACCTCCTGCCTTACCTGAGGCGGACCTCCTGCCTTACCTGAGGCGGACCTCCTGCCTTACCTGAGGCGGACCTCCTGCCTTACCTGAGACGGACCTCCTGCCTTACCTGAGACGGACCTCCTGCCTTACCTGAGACGGACCTCCTGCCTTACCTGAGACGGACCTCGAAACAGACCTCGCGCCTTACCTTGTGACAGGCCTTGTGGATATTCGTTGATCAAAGAGAACGACATCGTTTTTGCAGACGTCTCCTGTGGCATCGTCACCATGTTGAATGAACGGAGAAACGGCAGAAACGGAACGTGCTTTGGCGTGGGACCCTGGTACGATGGTGCCGCAGTAGTGGATATAAGGAAACATACGGTCTAGCTTTTCACAAGTACAAAAGGCCTCTGTTCGTTGGTCACCTGTACAATTGATGATGAAGGATGCACGTGGGTACTGGCGCTTGGCTGATTGGACGTCCTTGAGTCTGTCTTGGAGTGAGAGAGAAACAATGAAGGAAAATTGAGTAGGAAAAATTACTGTACCTCAATACCAGTAGTAGAGATGTATCAAATGGAACGGAAAAGTGTATCATATTACCTTTCACGCTTGAGCTGCAATTTCCCCCACGCATTGCGTTCCCTGAAGCAGGAGACTCAACTCCGTTCAGGTGAACAGGAGGGCGTTCGACAGCTGAAAAGCGAGATGTCCTTCCCCGACGTAACCAAGAGCTTACTCGTAATGAAGGTGACTTTTGAGTCGAATCAAAAGTCACCGCGAGATGTCGTTCCCTGACGTAACAAGGAGCTTACTCGTAATGTCTCTGAATGCGACTGATCAAATTCGCCTTCGAGTCGCTCAGCCGCAGGCCGTAGTAGCGCAGATAGGCCTTGCAGAGCTCACTGGTCAGCTTGCTCCACTCTCCCGCTGACGTGCGAGCCAATGGTGCAAACGGGATCAAACAAAACAAACACGGTACAGGAAAATGGGGAAAAGAATCAGTCGGATGGTACGGGGTAAAAAGTTATCAATAAAAACGGGTACAGGGTAGTGTTGGGAATGTACCTCGAATCAAGGATAACGCCTGCGTGTACGGATTGGATGGCAGAGAGGAGCCCCTGCGATCAGTCGAATTGCCAACAGCCTTCTTTTCCAGACGTTTAGAGCTAGCAGGCTTTGGCAACATGGAGTTGCTTCCTGTTCTTGTACTACTTTCCGTTTTGCTGTCCGTTACCTTTCCGTTTTCGTCCACCAACCAGGACTTGTCAACGTCATTGCCCCTACTATCCCCGTTATTATCAACATCGCTGTCGAAATCGCTACTATTATCGCCAGGACTGTCACTGTCCCTACTACTATTGCTGTAGCTGTCGTAATTCCTACTATCGCTATTGCTGGCACATTCAGAGCCGCTGTCACTTAGCGTTTCATATTCGTCATCACTGAGCGAAAGAGCTGTGCATGCGGACCCGCCTTTCGCCATGCTACAACCCTTCCAACGGTCATGCAGGTGTCTTCGTCTAAGCGAAAACCAATTCTAGGGGCTGGATGACATCAGACATGCAGCATAGAAATGCCTTTACTAGGAAACGTATACTCCGGCGAGCCTACAACTGTACTGCCTTGATCGTCAGACGCATAGTCACACTCTCAGTTCGCGAGCTCGGGAGATGCTATGATGGCAGTCAGTCTCATCGCCGTTTGAGACGCCAGTCATTCAGCCGCGTCAAGTTTGAAAGACTCGCCAGTCAGACGAGCGAGAAGATGTCAGTCGTCGAATCAAACACTCATAACCAGGACATGGCGAGTTTGATAGTTCGAAAGAGTTTGAAAGACTCGCCAGTCAGCCTTTGTTCAGATCACAACCAGCACATGACTGGAGACATGAACGGCGAAACTAGCCATGGATGTTGGACATGACGATATGTCACAGAACCGAACCTGTAGCGTTTTGCTACCTAATGTTACCGTAATGCAAAGCTCGGTGACAAATCAGGCAGTCCCACCGTTCAAGAATGTCGCAAACAGTTCGCGCGGTCGGAAGTTGCGAAAGTTGAAATCCCGCTCATTTCGTCAGCCTGTCACATCTGCAGACATGCCAGAAAACCCTGACACCAATCCTTCAACCCCACTGCACACCTCTTCTCCGCACGAAATTGCGAAATACCGTACTAAAAGCACAACTTCGTGTTCTGCTACTGGAGAAACTCTGGCTGGACTATGCTTGATTGACAGGTGTAGGGGGGGACCTGGCCAGCTCTCTTGGCCGCCTGGCACTCCCGTCCCGTCTCCAGCCGAATCTTGAATCTTGTTGATGGGGAGAGAAAATACCTGCAGCTATTTGTGCAGCTGCTTAGCTTCTGACTTACGATTATTCACTTACTTTGAGCGGAACACAGACACACGCCCTTGTACGTCTTAGGCCATCCTCTCGGCATTACCTTGCTAGAGGTCGGTCTGTCGCATGGAGTTGTCTCGCGTGTCGTTCGACCACTTGTCGGACGATCTCCTCTGCACTATCCTCCGTGAGGGGTTCAATCAGTCAGCTTCGCATTTCTCCCTTGCCTTAGTATGTAGACGATGGTACCGCGTCGTTTGTCTTACCCAAAGGTCGATCACCTTCAGGCGCGCTAATCCAACTACCCACGTTCTTCATCAGTTTAAGAACCTGACGTCTGTAACGATCTGGGGTTCCAAGGATAGTGACGATCTTCTTGCCGGTCTGAGCTCCGTATGTCCCAAGCTGACACATCTGCAACTTAAGGAATTTGACCGTTCCGCAATAACCCGTACGGGGCTAGATACACTGTTCACGGCTTGCACTGACCTGCAGTTTCTTTCGTTACACATGCCCATGATAACCCTAAACCCGGTGGAAATTCAACAGATGCCGAGTTCGTTCTTCGGTTTAACCTCATTGACGGACGTCACTCTCCGTTTGGCCATCGGCGAGTTCCCGGATCAGTTCGGCGGACTGAAATCCCTGGAGAGATTGACATTGAAATCCCTGCACATCACAAATCTACCTGATTCGATCGGCCAGCTCACCTCATTGACCGAGCTAAGCATTTCCGACTGCAGGAGCCTTAAGAATCTGCCGGATTCCATGGGCGATCTTTGTTCGTTAAAGAAGCTGGTTATTTTTCGTGCAATGCGGTTGGAGGTTCTTCCAAACAGCATCGGCCAGCTTCAGAACCTTAAGAGCGTTCTTCTCCACCTCAACCAGTCCCTATGCGAGCTTCCGGATTCCTTCTTCCATCTCCCGGCTCTCAAGGTTCTTAAGCTGTGGGAATGGAACCGACTTCATGAGCTTGGAAGCGCTGTCTTCAATCTCGTGGCTCTGGAAATGCTCCACATTGAAAAATGCTGGTTGACTTCGCTCCCGGATTCCCTCGGCCAGCTTCCCAACCTCCGTCGCTTGATGGTCACCAACTGCCAGGCTCTTTCCACGCTTCCGCAAAGCATCGGCGACATATCTTCCCTGGAACGTCTAAACTTCTCCCACCTCCAAAACGTGACGCGCCTCCCGGGTTCCATTTCGAAGCTGTCTAGCCTCCGCTCCTTCGTCCTGAAAGGATGCGACGCCATCACGGAGGTCCCGGCTTCTCTCTTCCAGGACTGCACGAGCCTGAGGAGACTGGATTTTGCCTGGCCATGCAGCTGTGGGAATGTTGGTCGGGCTGGAAGAGTAACTTCAGCTGAAGCCTTCGTGTCTAATCTTTGCAAACTATCCGGACTTACATCCCTTTTCCTGTCTGGTGTTCCAGATGTCAGTACTCTTCCTCACCAAATTGGGAATCTTTCGCAGCTACAGCGGCTGAAGCTGCATTCTTGGCCCAACCTGGCGTGCTTGCCGGATTCAATGTCCAACATCGTCGGCCTCTGCACTCTTGAAATTGTCTCCTGCCCAGCTTTCAATCATAAGGTCAAAAAGATTTCTGGGCTTCCGCACGTGAAGATTGCACGGTCAACATGTCTTTGGGATCTGGACAAAGAAGAGTGGGCAGGCGACGATGATGGACTCCTGTAAAGGGCATGTATGCAGTGTGGATGTTTTTGTTGCTCTTCTAGTTGGATCTAATAAGCAAATCCTTTCCTTTGCTCTGAGTGAAATCTCTCTGTCTGCTCCGTTTCTTTCCCTTTTCACCCAACATAAACATCCCTATCCATCTTTCCTGTAGTAAAACACCAGAAGATACCTCCTCCTTCCACACTCCAACAAGTTACCCTACGCCATTACTTCCCTTTCCTCTAATATATCTATTTACACGCACAAAAAAAGGAACGTGGCATACTGCTACTAACGTAGTTTACCATATACGTTTGTTCTCCATTCATTGTTGAGGGTTGCTCACTCTGATTTGTAGGAGCAAATTCGAATACGTACTTCTGCTGGGGCGAAATCGTTTTGGGAACCCTACCTGCCAAATGTATACTGCCGCTTTAAGATGGGACTTTTACTCAACGAACATTCGTAACAGAACTTTGAATGCCAGTCTTTGAATGGCACCACAATTCACGCTCAAGTGCTGCTGAGCAACATGATTCCATCACTGTGCAGAAGTGCGCTTCACGGTGTAGGGCAGGCCTATACTCGCTTGTCCCGTCTTTTCCTCGGCTTTTGACCAGCAGACCGGCTGAATGTGATGGGGAAGAAAGGGATGCTCGAGAATGGGTGATGGATGAGTGGCAGAGCGGGTAGAGGCGGGAAAGTTGGTGAAGGGTAGAGGGGAAATTAGGGATGAGAGGTATATCTATGTCTACGCATGTGCCCGTTTCATGCATTCAATGCATTCTACGGCCAAATGAGGCACACCAAATACCACTACCACATATGCATCGCTTCTCCTTTTGCCTCGCACTTGCTCCCCCTCCCAGAGCACTCACTTTCAACATGCCCTTCCCTTTGCTCACCTTTTAGTCCACTGAACACTCCCAGTCACCGCTCACTACCCATACCTGCCTTGAACACCACACTTTTCAAGAGCTCCGATATGTCCACCTGTATCCACTTCGAGCATGCGCTCCCGTTTGCTCACCTTCTAGTCCACTGAACACTCCGACTCCCAGTCACCATACTCACCATCCATTCCTGCCTAAAGCACCACTCTTTCCGGGAAATGCCCACCTGTTTTCAGACCGTGGGCATTTTCTTTTCCTGCTGTTGGCAGGGCTGGGACGACTTGAGTGACCCTGTGGTCCCCGTCTCCTGCTGGCCGTCTTCTCTCGCTGCCACCCTGTGTTTCTCCCACTTGGCGTCTTCACTAGCTGCCTCCCACTTGGTGCCTTCCCTCACTGCATCCCACTTGGCGTCTTCACTAGCTGCCTCCCACTTGGTGTTTTCCCTCTCTGCCCCCAAGTTGGCGTCTTCACTAGCTGCCTCCCACTCGGTGTCTTCCCTCGCTGTCCCCCACTTGGCGTCTTTCAAGCCGCTTCCCGTCTCTCGTCTTTTCTCGCCGCCTTCTACCTGGCTTGTTCGCGAGCCGCTTCTCCAGCATGCTGCGCGCCTCGTCTCCCCGCGCGTGCTTCTCTGCAATGGCAGCCACTCGCTCCGCCTCATTGGGCCATTTCTGGACGAATCAAAAGGTAGAAAGGGGAATGAGCCCAGCCAGTGAGTCGAAGCAGGTAAGCCGCACGTAATCAGAATAACCAATGACAGCCACCCGCTCCCCCTCGTTGGGCCAATTCTGGATAGATTGAATGCAGCAACGGGAACAAGGTAGGACCGTGAATGGAAGCAAGGGGGCAGCCAATGGCAACCACTCGCCCCCCCTCATTAGGCAATTTCCGGACGATTGGATGGCAACAAGGGAAATGGGCCAAGACAGTCAAGGGGCAGTCAGTGAACGAGGCAGCACAGGTGTTGAGTCGACTCAAAACAAGCCCCCCCTCATTAGGCCTCTGTTGGACGATTGGATGGCAACAAGGGAAATGGGCCAAGACAGTCAAGGGGCAGTCAGTGAACGAGGCAGCACAGGTGTTGAGTCGACTCAAAACAAGCCCCCCCCCTCATTAGGCCACTGTTGGACGATTGGATGGCAACAAGGGAAATGGGCCAAGACAGTCAAGAGGCAGTCAGTGAACGAGGCAGCACAGGTGTTGAGTCGACTCAAAACAAGCCCCCCCTCATTAGGCCTCTGTTGGACGATTGGATGGCAACAAGGGAAATGGGCCAAGACAGTCAAGGGGCAGTCAGTGAACGAGGCAGCACAGGTGTTGAGTCGACTCAAAACAAGCCCCCCCTCATTAGGCCACTGTTGGACGATTGGATGGCAACAAGGGAAATGGGCCAAGACAGTCAAGGGGCAGTCAGTGAACGAGGCAGCACAGGTGTTGAGTCGACTCAAAACAAGCCCCCCCTCATAAGGCCACTGTTGGACGATTGGATGGCAACAAGGGAAATGGGCCAAGACAGTCGCAGTCAGTGAACGAGGCAGCACAGGTGTTGAGTCAACTCAAAACAAGCCCCCCCTCATTAGGCCTCTGTTGGACGATTGGATGGCAACAAGGGAAATGGGCCAAGACAGTCAAGGGGCAGTCAGTGAACGAGGCAGCACAGGTGTTGAGTCGACTCAAAACAAGCCCCCCCCTCATTAGGCCACTGTTGGACGATTGGATGGCAACAAGGGAAATGGGCCAAGACAGTCAAGGGGCAGTCAGTGAACGAGGCAGCACAGGTGTTGAGTCGACTCAAAACAAGCCCCCCCTCATTAGGCCACTGTTGGACGATTGGATGGCAACAAGGGAAATGGGCCAAGACAGTCAAGGGGCAGTCAGTGAACGAGGCAGCACAGGTGTTGAGTCGACTCAAAACAAGCCCCCCCTCATTAGGCCACTGTTGGACGATTGGATGGCAACAAGGGAAATGGGCCAAGACAGTCAAGGGGCAGTCAGTGAACGAGGCAGCACAGGTGTTGAGTCGACTCAAAACAAGCCCCCCCTCATAAGGCCACTGTTGGACGATTGGATGGCAACAAGGGAAATGGGCCAAGACAGTCAAGGGGCAGTCAGTGAACGAGGCAGCACAGGTGTTGAGTCGACTCAAAACAAGCCCCCCCTCATTAGGCCTCTGTTGGACGATTGGATGGCAACAAGGGAAATGGGCCAAGACAGTCAAGGGGCAGTCAGTGAACGAGGCAGCACAGGTGTTGAGTCGACTCAAAACAAGCCCCCCCCTCATTAGGCCACTGTTGGACGATTGGATGGCAACAAGGGAAATGGGCCAAGACAGTCAAGGGGCAGTCAGTGAACGAGGCAGCACAGGTGTTGAGTCGACTCAAAACAAGCCCCCCCTCATTAGGCCACTGTTGGACGATTGGATGGCAACAAGGGAAATGGGCCAAGACAGTCAAGGGGCAGTCAGTGAACGAGGCAGCACAGGTGTTGAGTCGACTCAAAACAAGCCCCCCCTCATTAGACCACTGTTGGACGATTGGATGGCAACAAGGGAAATGGGCCAAGACAGTCAAGGGGCAGTCAGTGAACGAGGCAGCACAGGTGTTGAGTCGACTCAAAACAAGCCCCCCCTCATAAGGCCACTGTTGGACGATTGGATGGCAACAAGGGAAATGGGCCAAGACAGTCAAGGGGCAGTCAGTGAACGAGGCAGCACAGGTGTTGAGTCGACTCAAAACAAGCCCCCCCTCATAAGGCCACTGTTGGACGATTGGATGGCAACAAGGGAAATGGGCCAAGACAGTCAAGGGGCAGTCAGTGAACGAGGCAGCACAGGTGTTGAGTCGACTCAAAACAAGCCCCCCCTCATTAGGCCACTGTTGGACGATTGGATGGCAAGACAGTCAAGACAGTCAAGGGGCAGTCAGTGAACGAGGCAGCACAGGTGTTGAGTCGACTCAAAACAAGCCCCCCCTCATTAGGCCACTGTTGGACGATTGGATGGCAACAAGGGAAATGGGCCAAGACAGTCAAGGGGCAGTCAGTGAACGAGGCAGCACAGGTGTTGAGTCGACTCAAAACAAGCCCCCCCTCATTAGGCCACTGTTGGACGATTGGATGGCAACAAGGGAAATGGGCCAAGACAGTCAAGGGGCAGTCAGTGAACGAGGCAGCACAGGTGTTGAGTCGACTCAAAACAAGCCCCCCCTCATTAGGCCACTGTTGGACGAATGGATGGCAACAAGGGAAATGGGCCAAGACAGTCAAGGGGCAGTCAGTGAACGAGGCAGCACAGGTGTTGAGTCGACTCAAAACAAGCCCCCCCCTCATTAGGCCACTGTTGGACGATTGGATGGCAACAAGGGAAATGGGCCAAGACAGTCAAGGGGCAGTCAGTGAACGAGGCAGCACAGGTGTTGAGTCGACTCAAAACAAGCCCCCCCTCATTAGGCCACTGTTGGACGATTGGATGGCAACAAGGGAAATGGGCCAAGACAGTCAAGGGGCAGTCAGTGAACGAGGCAGCACAGGTGTTGAGTCGACTCAAAACAAGCCCCCCCTCATAAGGCCACTGTTGGACGATTGGATGGCAACAAGGGAAATGGGCCAAGACAGTCAAGGGGCAGTCAGTGAACGAGGCAGCACAGGTGTTGAGTCGACTCAAAACAAGCCCCCCCTCATTAGGCCACTGTTGGACGATTGGATGGCAACAAGGGAAATGGGCCAAGACAGTCAAGGGGCAGTCAGTGAACGAGGCAGCACAGGTGTTGAGTCGACTCAAAACAAGCCCCCCCTCATTAGGCCACTGTTGGACGATTGGATGGCAACAAGGGAAATGGGCCAAGACAGTCAAGGGGCAGTCAGTGAACGAGGCAGCACAGGTGTTGAGTCGACTCAAAACAAGCCCCCCCTCATAAGGCCACTGTTGGACGATTGGATGGCAACAAGGGAAATGGGCCAAGACAGTCAAGGGGCAGTCAGTGAACGAGGCAGCACAGGTGTTGAGTCGACTCAAAACAAGCCCCCCCTCATTAGGCCACTGTTGGACGATTGGATGGCAACAAGGGAAATGGACCAAGACAGTCAAGGGGCAGTCAGTGAACGAGGCAGCACAGGTGTTGAGTCGACTCAAAACAAGCCCCCCCTCATAAGGCCACTGTTGGACGATTGGATGGCAACAAGGGAAATGTGCCAAGACAGTCAAGGGGCAGTCAGTGAACGAGGCAGCACAGGTGTTGAGTCGACTCAAAACAAGCCCCCCCTCATTAGGCCACTGTTGGACGATTGGATGGCAACAAGGGAAATGGGCCAAGACAGTCAAGGGGCAGTCAGTGAACGAGGCAGCACAGGTGTTGAGTCGACTCAAAACAAGCCCCCCCTCATTAGGCCTCTGTTGGACGATTGGATGGCAACAAGGGAAATGGGCCAAGACAGTCAAGGGGCAGTCAGTGAACGAGGCAGCACAGGTGTTGAGTCGACTCAAAACAAGCCCCCCCCCATTAGGCCTCTGTTGGACGATTGGATGGCAACAAGGGAAATGGGCCAAGACAGTCAAGGGGCAGTCAGTGAACGAGGCAGCACAGGTGTTGAGTCGACTCAAAACAAGCCCCCCCCCATTAGGCCTCTGTTGGACGATTGGATGGCAACAAGGGAAATGGGCCAAGACAGTCAAGGGGCAGTCAGTGAACGAGGCAGCACAGGTGTTGAGTCGACTCAAAACAAGCCCCCCCCCATTAGGCCTCTGTTGGACGATTGGATGGCAACAAGGGAAATGGGCCAAGACAGTCAAGGGGCAGTCAGTGAACGAGGCAGCACAGGTGTTGAGTCGACTCAAAACAAGCCCCCCCCCATTAGGCCTCTGTTGGACGATTGGATGGCAACAAGGGAAATGGGCCAAGACAGTCAAGGGGCAGTCAGTGAACGAGGCAGCACAGGTGTTGAGTCGACTCAAAACAAGCCCCCCCTCATTAGGCCTCTGTTGGACGATTGGATGGCAACAAGGGAAATGGGCCAAGACAGTCAAGGGGCAGTCAGTGAACGAGAAAGCACAGGTGTTGAGTCGACTCAAAACAAGCCCCCCCTCATTAGGCCACTGTTGGACGATTGGATGGCAACAAGGGAAATGGGCCAAGACAGTCAAGGGGCAGTCAGTGAACGAGGCAGCACAGGTGTTGAGTCGACTCAAAACAAGCCCCCCCTCATTAGGCCACTGTTGGACGATTGGATGGCAACAAGGGAAATGGGCCAAGACAGTCAAGGGACAGTCAGTGAACGAGGCAGCACAGGTGTTGAGTCGACTCAAAACAAGCCCCCCCTCATAAGGCCACTGTTGGACGATTGGATGGCAACAAGGGAAATGGGCCAAGACAGTCAAGGGGCAGTCAGTGAACGAGGCAGCACAGGTGTTGAGTCGACTCAAAACAAGCCCCCCCTCATAAGGCCACTGTTGGACGATTGGATGGCAACAAGGGAAATGGGCCAAGACAGTCAAGGGGCAGTCAGTGAACGAGGCAGCACAGGTGTTGAGTCGACTCAAAACAAGCCCCCCCTCATTAGGCCACTGTTGGACGATTGGATGGCAACAAGGGAAATGGGCCAAGACAGTCAAGGGGCAGTCAGTGAACGAGGCAGCACAGGTGTTGAGTCGACTCAAAACAAGCCCCCCCTCATAAGGCCACTGTTGGACGATTGGATGGCAACAAGGGAAATGTGCCAAGACAGTCAAGGGGCAGTCAGTGAACGAGGCAGCACAGGTGTTGAGTCGACTCAAAACAAGCCCCCCCCCATTAGGCCTCTGTTGGACGATTGGATGGCAACAAGGGAAATGGGCCAAGACAGTCAAGGGGCAGTCAGTGAACGAGGCAGCACAGGTGTTGAGTCGACTCAAAACAAGCCCCCCCCCATTAGGCCTCTGTTGGACGATTGGATGGCAACAAGGGAAATGGGCCAAGACAGTCAAGGGGCAGTCAGTGAACGAGGCAGCACAGGTGTTGAGTCGACTCAAAACAAGCCCCCCCCCATTAGGCCTCTGTTGGACGATTGGATGGCAACAAGGGAAATGGGCCAAGACAGTCAAGGGGCAGTCAGTGAACGAGGCAGCACAGGTGTTGAGTCGACTCAAAACAAGCCCCCCCCCATTAGGCCACTGTTGGACGATTGGATGGCAACAAGGAAATGTGCCAAGACAGTCAAGGGGCAGTCAGTGAACGAGGCAGCACAGGTGTTGAGTCGACTCAAAACAAGCCCCCCCCCATTAGGCCTCTGTTGGACGATTGGATGGCAACAAGGGAAATGGGCCAAGACAGTCAAGGGGCAGTCAGTGAACGAGGCAGCACAGGTGTTGAGTCGACTCAAAACAAGCCCCCCCCCATTAGGCCTCTGTTGGACGATTGGATGGCAACAAGGGAAATGGGCCAAGACAGTCAAGGGGCAGTCAGTGAACGAGGCAGCACAGGTGTTGAGTCGACTCAAAACAAGCCCCCCCCCATTAGGCCTCTGTTGGACGATTGGATGGCAACAAGGGAAATGGGCCAAGACAGTCAAGGGGCAGTCAGTGAACGAGGCAGCACAGGTGTTGAGTCGACTCAAAACAAGCCCCCCCTCATTAGGCCTCTGTTGGACGATTGGATGGCAACAAGGGAAATGGGCCAAGACAGTCAAGGGGCAGTCGGTGAACGAGGCAGCACAGGTGTTGAGTCGACTCAAAACAAGCCCCCCCCCATTAGGCCACTGTTGGACGATTGGATGGCAACAAGGGAAATGGGCCAAGACAGTCAAGGGGCAGTCGGTGAACGAGGCAGCACAGGTGTTGAGTCGACTCAAAACAAGCCCCCCCTCATAAGGCCACTGTTGGACGATTGGATGGCAACAAGGGAAATGGGCCAAGACAGTCAAGGGGCAGTCGGTGAACGAGGCAGCACAGGTGTTGAGTCGACTCAAAACAAGCCCCCCCTCATAAGGCCACTGTTGGACGATTGGATGGCAACAAGGGAAATGGGCCAAGACAGTCAAGGGGCAGTCGGTGAACGAGGCAGCACAGGTGTTGAGTCGACTCAAAACAAGCCCCCCCTCATAAGGCCACTGTTGGACGAATGGATGGCAACAAGGGAAATGGGCCAAGACAGTCAAGGGGCAGTCAGTGAACGAGGCAGCACAGGTGTTGAGTCGACTCAAAACAAGCCCCCCCCTCATTAGGCCACTGTTGGACGAATGGATGGCAACAAGGGAAATGGGCCAAGACAGTCAAGGGGCAGTCAGTGAACGAGGCAGCACAGGTGTTGAGTCGACTCAAAACAAGCCCCCCCTCATTAGGCCTCTGTTGGACGATTGGATGGCAACAAGGGAAATGGGCCAAGACAGTCAAGGGGCAGTCAGTGAACGAGGCAGCACAGGTGTTGAGTCGACTCAAAACAAGCCCCCCCTCATTAGGCCACTGTTGGACGATTGGATGGCAACAAGGGAAATGGGCCAAGACAGTCAAGGGGCAGTCAGTGAACGAGGCAGCACAGGTGTTGAGTCGACTCAAAACAAGCCCCCCCTCATTAGGCCACTGTTGGACGATTGGATGGCAACAAGGGAAATGGGCCAAGACAGTCAAGGGGCAGTCAGTGAACGAGGCAGCACAGGTGTTGAGTCGACTCAAAACAAGCCCCCCCCCATTAGGCCACTGTTGGACGATTGGATGGCAACAAGGGAAATGGGCCAAGACAGTCAAGGGGCAGTCAGTGAACGAGGCAGCACAGGTGTTGAGTCGACTCAAAACAAGCCCCCCCCCATTAGGCCTCTGTTGGACGATTGGATGGCAACAAGGAAATGGGCCAAGACAGTCAAGGGGCAGTCAGTGAACGAGGCAGCACAGATGTTGAGTCGACTCAAAACAAGCCCCCCCCCATTAGGCCACTGTTGGACGATTGGATGGCAACAAGGAAATGGGCCAAGACAGTCAAGGGGCAGTCAGTGAACGAGGCAGCACAGGTGTTGAGTCGACTCAAAACAAGCCCCCCCTCATTAGGCCACTGTTGGACGATTGGATGGCAACAAGGGAAATGGGCCAAGACAGTCAAGGGGCAGTCAGTGAACGAGGCAGCACAGGTGTTGAGTCGACTCAAAACAAGCCCCCCCTCATTAGGCCACTGTTGGACGATTGGATGGCAACAAGGGAAATGGGCCAAGACAGTCAAGGGGCAGTCAGTGAACGAGGCAGCACAGGTGTTGAGTCGACTCAAAACAAGCCCCCCCTCATTAGGCCACTGTTGGACGATTGGATGGCAACAAGGGAAATGGGCCAAGACAGTCAAGGGGCAGTCAGTGAACGAGGCAGCACAGGTGTTGAGTCGACTCAAAACAAGCCCCCCCTCATTAGGCCACTGTTGGACGATTGGATGGCAACAAGGGAAATGGGCCAAGACAGTCAAGGGGCAGTCAGTGAACGAGGCAGCACAGGTGTTGAGTCGACTCAAAACAAGCCCCCCCTCATTAGGCCACTGTTGGACGATTGGATGGCAACAAGGGAAATGGGCCAAGACAGTCAAGGGGCAGTCAGTGAACGAGGCAGCACAGGTGTTGAGTCGACTCAAAACAAGCCCCCCCTCATTAGGCCACTGTTGGACGATTGGATGGCAACAAGGGAAATGGGCCAAGACAGTCAAGGGGCAGTCAGTGAACGAGGCAGCACAGGTGTTGAGTCCACTCAAAACAAGCCCCCCCTCATAAGGCCACTGTTGGACGATTGGATGGCAACAAGGGAAATGGGCCAAGACAGTCAAGGGGCAGTCAGTGAACGAGGCAGCACAGGTGTTGAGTCGACTCAAAACAAGCCCCCCCTCATTAGGCCTCTGTTGGACGATTGGATGGCAACAAGGGAAATGGGCCAAGACAGTCAAGGGGCAGTCAGTGAACGAGGCAGCACAGGTGTTGAGTCGACTCAAAACAAGCCCCCCCCTCATTAGGCCACTGTTGGACGATTGGATGGCAACAAGGGAAATGGGCCAAGACAGTCCAGGGGCAGTCAGTGAACGAGGCAGCACAGGTGTTGAGTCGACTCAAAACAAGCCCCCCCTCATAAGGCCACTGTTGGACGATTGGATGGCAACAAGGGAAATGGGCCAAGACAGTCGAGGGGCAGTCAGTGAACGAGGCAGCACAGGTGTTGAGTCGACTCAAAACAAGCCCCCCCCTCATTAGGCCTCTGTTGGACGATTGGATGGCAACAAGGGAAATGGGCCAAGACAGTCAAGGGGCAGTCAGTGAACGAGGCAGCACAGGTGTTGAGTCGACTCAAAACAAGCCCCCCCCTCATTAGGCCACTGTTGGACGATTGGATGGCAACAAGGGAAATGGGCCAAGACAGTCAAGGGGCAGTCAGTGAACGAGGCAGCACAGGTGTTGAGTCGACTCAAAACAAGCCCCCCCCTCATTAGGCCACTGTTGGACGATTGGATGGCAACAAGGGAAATGGGCCAAGACAGTCAAGGGGCAGTCAGTGAACGAGGCAGCACAGGTGTTGAGTCGACTCAAAACAAGCCCCCCCTCATTAGGCCACTGTTGGACGATTGGATGGCAACAAGGGAAATGGGCCAAGACAGTCAAGGGGCAGTCAGTGAACGAGGCAGCACAGGTGTTGAGTCGACTCAAAACAAGCCCCCCCTCATAAGGCCACTGTTGGACGATTGGATGGCAACAAGGGAAATGGGCCAAGACAGTCAAGGGGCAGTCAGTGAACGAGGCAGCACAGGTGTTGAGTCGACTCAAAACAAGCCCCCCCTCATTAGGCCACTGTTGGACGATTGGATGGCAACAAGGGAAATGGGCCAAGACAGTCAAGGGGCAGTCAGTGAACGAGGCAGCACAGGTGTTGAGTCGACTCAAAACAAGCCCCCCCTCATTAGGCCACTGTTGGACGATTGGATGGCAACAAGGGAAATGGGCCAAGACAGTCAAGGGGCAGTCAGTGAACGAGGCAGCACAGGTGTTGAGTCGACTCAAAACAAGCCCCCCCTCATTAGGCCACTGTTGGACGATTGGATGGCAAGACAGTCAAGACAGTCAAGGGGCAGTCAGTGAACGAGGCAGCACAGGTGTTGAGTCGACTCAAAACAAGCCCCCCCTCATTAGGCCACTGTTGGACGATTGGATGGCAACAAGGGAAATGGGCCAAGACAGTCAAGGGGCAGTCAGTGAACGAGGCAGCACAGGTGTTGAGTCGACTCAAAACAAGCCCCCCCTCATTAGGCCACTGTTGGACGATTGGATGGCAACAAGGGAAATGGGCCAAGACAGTCAAGGGGCAGTCAGTGAACGAGGCAGCACAGGTGTTGAGTCGACTCAAAACAAGCCCTCCCTCATTAGGCCACTGTTGGACGATTGGATGGCAACAAGGGAAATGGGCCAAGACAGTCAAGGGGCAGTCAGTGAACGAGGCAGCACAGGTGTTGAGTCGACTCAAAACAAGCCCCCCCTCATTAGGCCACTGTTGGACGATTGGATGGCAACAAGGGAAATGGGCCAAGACAGTCAAGGGGCAGTCAGTGAACGAGGCAGCACAGGTGTTGAGTCGACTCAAAACAAGCCCCCCCTCATTAGGCCACTGTTGGACGATTGGATGGCAACAAGGGAAATGGGCCAAGACAGTCAAGGGGCAGTCAGTGAACGAGGCAGCACAGGTGTTGAGTCGACTCAAAACAAGCCCCCCCTCATTAGGCCTCTGTTGGACGATTGGATGGCAACAAGGGAAATGGGCCAAGACAGTCAAGGGGCAGTCAGTGAACGAGGCAGCACAGGTGTTGAGTCGACTCAAAACAAGCCCCCCCTCATAAGGCCACTGTTGGACGATTGGATGGCAACAAGGGAAATGGGCCAAGACAGTCAAGGGGCAGTCAGTGAACGAGGCAGCACAGGTGTTGAGTCGACTCAAAACAAGCCCCCCCTCATTAGGCCACTGTTGGACGATTGGATGGCAACAAGGGAAATCGGCCAAGACAGTCAAGGGGCAGTCAGTGAACGAGGCAGCACAGGTGTTGAGTCGACTCAGAACAAGCCCCCCCTCATTAGGCCACTGTTGGACGATTGGATGGCAACAAGGGAAATGGGCCAAGACAGTCAAGGGGCAGTCAGTGAACGAGGCAGCACAGGTGTTGAGTCGACTCAAAACAAGCCCCCCCCTCATTAGGCCACTGTTGGACGAATGGATGGCAACAAGGGAAATGGGCCAAGACAGTCAAGGGGCAGTCAGTGAACGAGGCAGCACAGGTATTGAGTCGACTCAAAACAAGCCCCCCCTCATTAGGCCACTGTTGGACGATTGGATGGCAACAAGGGAAATGGGCCAAGACAGTCAAGGGGCAGTCAGTGAACGAGGCAGCACAGGTGTTGAGTCGACTCAAAACAAGCCCCCCCTCATTAGGCCTCTGTTGGACGATTGGATGGCAACAAGGGAAATGGGCCAAGACAGTCAAGGGGCAGTCAGTGAACGAGGCAGAACAGGTGTTGAGTCGACTCAAAACAAGCCCCCCCTCATAAGGCCACTGTAGGACGATTGGATGGCAACAAGGGAAATGGGCCAAGACAGTCAAGGGGCAGTCAGTGAACGAGGCAGCACAGGTGTTGAGTCGACTCAAAACAAGCCCCCCCTCATTAGGCCTCTGTTGGACGATTGGATGGCAACAAGGGAAATGGGCCAAGACAGTCAAGGGGCAGTCAGTGAACGAGGCAGCACAGGTGTTGAGTCGACTCAAAACAAGCCCCCCCTCATTAGGCCACTGTTGGACGATTGGATGGCAACAAGGGAAATGGGCCAAGACAGTCAAGGGGCAGTCAGTGAACGAGGCAGCACAGGTGTTGAGTCGACTCAAAACAAGCCCCCCCTCATTAGGCCACTGTTGGACGATTGGATGGCAACAAGGGAAATGGGCCAAGACAGTCAAGGGGCAGTCAGTGAACGAGGCAGCACAGGTGTTGAGTCGACTCAAAACAAGCCCCCCCTCATTAGGCCACTGTTGGACGAATGGATGGCAACAAGGGAAATGGGCCAAGACAGTCAAGGGGCAGTCAGTGAACGAGGCAGCACAGGTGTTGAGTCGACTCAAAACAAGCCCCCCCCTCATTAGGCCACTGTTGGACGATTGGATGGCAACAAGGGAAATGGGCCAAGACAGTCAAGGGGCAGTCAGTGAACGAGGCAGCACAGGTGTTGAGTCGACTCAAAACAAGCCCCCCCTCATTAGGCCACTGTTGGACGATTGGATGGCAACAAGGGAAATGGGCCAAGACAGTCAAGGGGCAGTCAGTGAACGAGGCAGCACAGGTGTTGAGTCGACTCAAAACAAGCCCCCCCTCATTAGGCCACTGTTGGACGATTGGATGGCAACAAGGGAAATGGGCCAAGACAGTCAAGGGGCAGTCAGTGAACGAGGCAGCACAGGTGTTGAGTCGACTCAAAACAAGCCCCCCCTCATTAGGCCTCTGTTGGACGATTGGATGGCAACAAGGGAAATGGGCCAAGACAGTCAAGGGGCAGTCAGTGAACGAGGCAGCACAGGTGTTGAGTCGACTCAAAACAAGCCCCCCCTCATAAGGCCACTGTTGGACGATTGGATGGCAACAAGGGAAATGGGCCAAGACAGTCAAGGGGCAGTCAGTGAACGAGGCAGCACAGGTGTTGAGTCGACTCAAAACAAGCCCCCCCTCATTAGGCCTCTGTTGGACGATTGGATGGCAACAAGGGAAATGGGCCAAGACAGTCAAGGGGCAGTCAGTGAACGAGGCAGCACAGGTGTTGAGTCGACTCAAAACAAGCCCCCCCTCATTAGGCCTCTGTTGGACGATTGGATGGCAACAAGGGAAATGGGCCAAGACAGTCAAGGGGCAGTCAGTGAACGAGGCAGCACAGGTGTTGAGTCGACTCAGAACAAGCCCCCCCTCATTAGGCCACTGTTGGACGATTGGATGGCAACAAGGGAAATGGGCCAAGACAGTCAAGGGGCAGTCAGTGAACGAGGCAGCACAGGTGTTGAGTCGACTCAAAACAAGCCCCCCCCTCATTAGGCCACTGTTGGACGAATGGATGGCAACAAGGGAAATGGGCCAAGACAGTCAAGGGGCAGTCAGTGAACGAGGCAGCACAGGTGTTGAGTCGACTCAAAACAAGCCCCCCCCTCATTAGGCCACTGTTGGACGATTGGATGGCAACAAGGGAAATGGGCCAAGACAGTCAAGGGGCAGTCAGTGAACGAGGCAGCACAGGTGTTGAGTCGACTCAAAACAAGCCCCCCCTCATTAGGCCACTGTTGGACGATTGGATGGCAACAAGGGAAATGGGCCAAGACAGTCAAGGGGCAGTCAGTGAACGAGGCAGCACAGGTGTTGAGTCGACTCAAAACAAGCCCCCCCTCATTAGGCCACTGTTGGACGATTGGATGGCAACAAGGGAAATGGGCCAAGACAGTCAAGGGGCAGTCAGTGAACGAGGCAGCACAGTGCATGGAGGCAGGGTTGTGGCATCAGGACAGTCAGTGGTATCGATTTGTTCAGTCTTCTCGGGCCATTTCTTGCCGCATGGAAATGGTAAGTGAGTGCTGGGCGAAAGACAGGTTGAGATGAAAATAAACAACTGGTCATATGAGGTGCTGCTGCTATAGACCAGCGCATTGACCACGCATGTTTTCCCTGACCGACCCTTAACTATTCAAGATAAGCGCACTACCACAAAAAAAAAAAAAAAAAAAAAAAAAAAAAAATCACCTGTCGGAATGTTTTATGTCTGTACAGTACTCTCCCCCTTTACAAGAAGCTGCGTCATTGGAGCCAATGCATGCAGGCCAGAGCTCCAAATAACCTCCACCTGAAAGAATGATCAAACGAATCAAAGTTCGATCGTGACTGAAAATACAGAAAAACAAAGGGTTGAAGTAGGCAGTTTGCATGATGGCAACGCATGGGCTTGTAACGAGTCTAACTGTAAGCTGCCACTTACGAAGGCGGAAGTGTGTGCTTACAGTGAACGTGTGCTGCTGCTTCTTCACACCGTAGCTCTCACTGACCACTCTCCCTGCCACCGACCGATAACCTCCATGCATTGCCTTCCTCTCTTGCCTGCATGGGTCATCAGTGGCATGGGTCATCAGTGGCATGGGTCATCAGTGGCATGGAGCTGCAGGCACATGCAGGCACGGGAATAAAGCACAGAATAGGCGTGCATGACATGGGCAAGAGGCATGGTATGCCATGGTATGACATGGGAGCATGACATGGAACGAGGTGACAGCAAGCGACAGAGTCAAACGGCAACCATTCGGGGCGTGGTTGCAAGAGGCATACTGTAGGCATGCGCCCGCACCACTCACCATTCAAGGCCGTCGTCTAGCACTGCGGGTCCTAGGGGAAGGCAGCAGGGAACGCCTTGGAAGGGCGGGAACCACAAGAGGCCCTTCCAGCAGGGGCAGCAGGCTGACCACAAGGCCAAGAAGGTCAACGAGGGTGGACCAAGCAATGTCCAGAGTTGCTTCAAGTGCGGCAAGCCTGGACACAAGGGTTATGAGTGCCGCCACCGCAAGTCGGTGAAGTACTCTGGCAAGCCTAAGACGGACAACAGGCGCAATGACGGCAGTGGTCCCTCGGGCAGCCAGCGGGATGTTGCAAAGCCCAACTAGGGGGTGGGTACCTAGCGGGCATAGTAGATCGAGAGGATGAGGCAGTGGTCCTGCGGGATGAGGAGTTGTTGAAACTCGAGTGCCTTGTTGAATGCAAAATTGCATGTGTGTATGCATTTTCTTTTAATGAAAGCTCTTTGTTTGCCTCTCGATTTCACCCACTGGAAAATATCACAGTTGAATCATTACGAGATAAATTCTCACTTATATTTTGTGATCACCATAATTTGCCTTGGATAATGAATATGGTGGGTCGTTGCACCCAAGCGCACCCTCTAACTGCGGTTGGAATGGTAACGCGCACCGTTCGAGGTAAATTGTATGGAGCGTGTTAGCGCAGTGGGATAAGGGACACCATGTGTGGTGGACACAAGCTCGTTCTTTTGGACGCAGCAAACACGGCATTAAGGCATACTATTTGCCTCCCACTGATATTACAGCATGTCCTATTCGACCCAAACATCAGCAAAACCTTTTGTTTTCGGGTCGCGTAAATGGGCGCAGTGCCTCGATCCTGGTTGATACAGGAGCAACTGCGTCATTGATCGATGAGAAGTGGATGGGATATTTGAATGTTCCTGTTCAAGGACCATCTTGTTCTATCCGCCTAGGGGATGACATGATCATTCCATGCAGAGGACATGCGTTGGTCAACCTGGATATCCAAGGATATCAGGAGACCATCAGCGTTTTTGTCTTACCCCTCCTAGCAGGCGTAGACATTGTCTTGGGAATGGATTGGCTGCGGCCTAATGAGGTGATATTAAATTTCCAAGATAACACGCTTTCATTCACAAAGAATGGGACGACGTTCCAATGGCAGGTCCCAAAGCGCCATGCACTGGACGACAAACCTCAAAGCCTGGCTCTTGATGTGCGCTTTGCGTCGGCTCTCCAATTCAAAGAGCATGTCAAGGGAGCTGATACACTATTTGTTGTACAGCTAGACTCTGAACCAACCCCTTCACAGATTATTGAGGACTTCCCACCTCAAATGAAGGCGTTGGCAGAGGAATATTCCGAGGTTTTCGAACCAATTCCGGACGGGTTACCTCTCGACCGTGCAGTCGGCCATACCATCCCGGTGGAACCAGGGAAGGCACCACCATTTAGACCTCTGTATCGCCTCAGTCCAGCTGAGTACGAGGAGGCTAAACAACAGATTGAGGAATACCTCAAAAAGGGATGGATAGAACCCAGCGCGTCCCCATATGGAGCACCTATCTTGTTCGTTCACAAGAATGGGGGTGGACTGCGCATGTGCGTCGATTATCGAGCCCTGAATAAAATTACGATCAAAAATAGATATCCACTTCCGCGGATAGAAGATCTATTTGATCGACTACAGGGTGCGCAATGGTTCAGTGCACTGGATTTGGCGCAAGGCTGTCACCAATTACGTATAACAGAGGACGATGTTCCAAAGACGGCTCTCCGTTCGCCGTTCGGCCATTTTCAGTGGCGTGTGTTAAGTTTTGGCTTGACCAACGCTCCGGCCTCTTTCCAGAAGGCGATGAACGATGTGTTTCGTGATGCGATTGGCCAGTTCGTCTTGGTGTACCTCGATGATATCCTGGTATACTCGAAAACCGAAGACGAGCATACGTAACATCTGAAATGGGTCCTAAAAAAATTACGCGAGCATAAATACTACGCACGTTTGTGGAAATGCCATTTTTACAAACGTGAGCTGGAGTATTTGGGGCACGTGGTGGGGCATAACGGATTGAAAGTGGACCCCAAGAAGGTAGCAGCTGTCCAGGAGTGGCCCGTCCCACGTGACGTTGGCCAAGTTCGATCATTCCTAGGCCTGGCGAATTATTTTCGTCGCTTCTTGGAAAATTATTCCACGATAGTCGCTCCCCTCACGGCATTGACCCGGAGAGGGTGCACATGGGAGTGGACTCCACAGTGCCAAAAGGCCTTCGAAGAGGTCAAGCATAAATTAACTAACGCACAAGTTTTGGTGTTACCAAACCCACAGAAACCATATGAGGTGATTACGGACGCCTCAACGGTGGGACTTGGTGCAGTACTCCTGCAAGAAGGACGCCCTGTGGCATTTGAGAGTAGAAAACTCTCCCCGGCAGAGCAACGCTACACGACGACCGAACAAGAGTTGTTGGCTGTCGTGCATGCGCTAAGAACATGGCGATGTTACTTGGAAGGGGTAGAGTTCGTGGTCACCACTGACCATTGTCCGAACACATATTTTTCTACCCAAGCTACCCTCACTCGCCGTCAGGCCCGTTGGGCTGAACTCCTTAGTGGGTTCAGTTTCGACATTCGTTATCGTGCAGGTTCCACGAACCTGGCTGACCCCCTCAGCAGACAGCCGATAGGGGCAGCAACCGGGCTTGACGATACCGAACATGCGGCTGTTTTTGCTGCCTGTTTTGGCATCCTAGCTGCGGCGAAAGTGAGCGAGATCGCGTTCAGTGGTTTTCTGAAACGAATTCGTACAGGATATCATATAGATTCCTGGTTCCAGAACCTACAAAACACCAGACATTTGACATGGGAACACGATCTTTGGTGGCGAACAAAAGAGATTGCGGTACCTCATGGAGGCAATCTGCGGAACGATATTTTGGAAGAGGTGCATGCCACTAAATATGGGGGACACTTGGGCATGAATAAGACCCGATGGGCCCTACGAGATGTGTATTGGTGGCCAGGAGTCGGTAGTGATGTCCAACAGTTTGTGGCACGTTGTGACACGTGCGCACGTAACAAACCGGACACACAGAAGCCTGGTGGTTTGCTTCAACCACTTGAAATTCCGAGTGAACTTTGGGAAAGCGTTTCACTGGATTTCATCACCGACCTCCCAAGAACCCGTGATGGGTATACGGCGATACTCGTGTTTGTAGATCGCCTTACAAAATGGTGCACTTCGTACCCACGACAACAGACGTGTCAGCAGAGGATACTGCACGGTTGTTCGTGACACATGTGTTCCGCTTACACGGATTGCCACGTGTATTAGTGTCTGATCGTGACCCGCGCTTCACGAGCCGATTCTGGCGTGAAGTAACCGAGACACTGGGAACGAAGCTTAAGATGTCGTCAGCGTTCCATCCCCAGACAGATGGGCAAACGGAACGGACTAACCGCACTCTCGAGCAGATGCTTCGTTCTTTCATAAGCCCAACACAGGACAATTGGGACGAGTTGTTACCCATGGTCGAGTTTGCGGTTAACAACTCCGTGCATGATAGCACACATGAAAAACCATTTATCCTGAACTGTGGTCGGCATCCCACAACACCTGCTACGCATGGGATCGGCGGTTTGAAATTACTTGCCGCAAAGGATTTTGTGGGCAAGCAACGAGAGGCCCTAAAGTCGGCACGTCGTTGGCTGCAGTTGGCCTAACAAAGACAAAAATCCTATGCCGATATGAAACGCCGGGAAGTCTCATTCTCCGTTGGAGACAAAGTTTTGTTAAGCACGAAGAATATTCGGCTTAAGATCCCTGGTGCGAGAAAGTTGTTCCCTCGCTGGATTGGGCCCTTCGAGGTTGTTCAACGAGTTGGTGCGGTAGCTTATAAACTCAAGCTACCCGATACCCTTCAGATTCACAATGTCTTCCATGTGTCTCTGTTAAGCAAGTACGTTGCAGAAGGCAAGTACTTACCACCACCAACAATCGTCCTAGGGGAGGAACTGTACTATGAAGTCGAACGAGTGCTTTTGCATCGTGATCGACAGCGCGGCCGCAAGACTGTACGAGAGTTCCTCATCAAGTGGAAAGGCTATGGGCCTGAGCACAACTCTTGGGAGCCGGAAGAACATTTGACTGATACTGCTGTTCAGTCTTACATGGAAGACCTGGCTCAACGGGCACTCCCACAACCAGCGGACGGTGTTGACCCTGGTCGTAATGTGGTTCGTCGTGCTCGTAGCACTCGTCCTAAGAAGCACCCCACGGCAACGAGGACGTTGCCAGCTGGAGGGGGAGGAGTGTAACATCCGTACCTACCCCCCCCTGGTCTCGATACATTGAACCTGGGTTGGGAAGGTGGAAAGGAAATGAACTGGTTGGAAAGCGAGGAAACGAACTGGTTGGCAAGCCAACCAATCAGAACACTTTTATACAAAGTGAGTCGACAAGGCCCTCGCCGCTGGTTGGAAATATAGCCAATCACAAACATTCGAAGTCCAACGCAACTCTTGCATTGGAATTGCAACCAGTTATAACATGAGAGGTATGGATAACTTATTGCATACACAGCATCTTATGTCATTGTTTGTGCCATGTCATTGAGTAAAAGGATTCACCTTTGCCACATGGGCAAGGCCCATTGTGGTGCACCCTTCCTTGCCATGGGGAAGGTGGCTGCACCCCAAGGGGGTCTAGGGAGGGGTCTGAGCCTTTCCAAGCTCATTCTCAACTTCCTATCCCCAACTAATCAATTGGGAAATAGGATTCTCATCTCTCAACTCATCCTCCACAGTTTGTGACTGCATCTCCTAGCACTTTCCAGACTTAGTGATTTCCAGGAGCTGCTACTCTCTGTTTGTATTAGAACCTATTATTACATGGGTAAATGCCCTTTCTGTTAGTGGATCCGTTACACGGACAGCCAATTATTCCCGAGATCCAGAGTCCTTAGGGACTTCGCCGCCGCGTACGCTGCAGGACGTCGTGGTAACCCGCCGGAGAAGAAATTTCGGGCGGCGACCACATCATAAAGCGTCGGCATGCGAAAAAAGGCAACAGGAAGAGGACCAGCGAAACAGTTATCGTTGATTGTGAGGTACTTAGTTTTGTAAGCCGGGAAAACGACCGGCGCGGGAAAGAGCCAGCAAGCCAGAGACCCGGCAGAGTGAGAAAGACGAGATCCGTTAACAGGCCGATAGAATCGGAGAGGGTTGCGGGGAACTTTCCGCCGGGTTCGCGCGCAGTACGTTTGCAAAGGCGAGGCGTGGGTGGGGGGGGGGACGAGAGTGTCGACGCCGTTCGAGAGGTATAGCATGCTAACAGCGCCAGTGCAGCAAGTCACGCCGGGCCACGTGCACGCGTCCGGCTGGTTTGCCGGGATAGGTATCAGCGCGGCTTTGAAGATCGCCCTGAGAGCCGCCGTGTCAGCCGCCGAAGCCGGCGGCGGGTCGTAGTCATAGCTAATTCCGACCAACGCTGCGTCGGACGCAGATTCTAGTATAAAGTAGCAGGGATCAGAGAATAATAGTCTCTCCGCCCGCCGCGCGGCGAGATAATGCGCCGCGCGAGGCAGAACAGTCCGCGCGGGGAGTCCTTGTCCGCGGCGAGCAGCAGGCAACTTGGATACAAGCTGCCTCGATATGGGCTGCAAAGCCGTCGTCGGTGAGCAGTAGAGGAGTAGCAGGAGGAGGCACCGTGCTGTCGTACTAACGTGAGCGCGCAACACGTCCGACGTGTATGAACCGCGATGGAGCGCGTGACTCTAGGGTAGTAATCTAGTACGTCCGCCATGTGTGAATGGCGCGCGACTCCCAGTCAAAGCGGTTTCTAGCTTCCGAAAACTCTAACCCGTGAGAACCAACACCTACCAAGTTCGAATAACTTATCTTGAAGAGAACGGATAGAATCGATACGAGCTGTCCTGGAGGGTGAGTGCTTGACTTCCACCCACTGAGTGTCCTACTAGGGCGGAAGTCACGTAAGAGTGCGTCTTCCACGTCGGAAGACGCACCCAGCATGTTCGCGCCGACTGCCGTCTCATACATCCTGAGCCGCTATGCGCGTGCGCTAGTGATGTGCAGCGCGAGAACGTGCGGGCTTGCTTGGTAGGCATTTGCCCTTCCAGAGAGGCAGCAATAAAGAGAGGCACCACTACCAGAAGTGGGAGGGGTTGAGTTGCAGCTATGGTTTGGGCTGGCTTGGTTTGGTTTAGCTATGGGTTTGATTTGGTCTGCTTTGGGCTGGTTGAGTCTGGTTGAGTCTGGTTGGGTTAGGTTAGGTGTGAGGACACCCAGACGAGTTGGTGCGAAGGGTTAGGAAGGTTTGGCATTTTGGCTGAGGTACGGGAATTGGTGCAAGGCAGGTGACGAACATAACGTTGGTTTGGGTGAGTTAGGGCGTGTTACGTACGTCGTTAGCATGTCAAGGTTGTCCGGACCGGCCAACTTGGAATTTGGAAAATATTCGTTTTGTTGCGGTGCTGGAAACCCATCTCGGTTGTGTTTGGTAAAACTTGCTAGTTGCCTCGACCGTTGCTCGGTAGCCTCGACCTGCCACCAAAAAGTGGGGTACGTACCACCCAGTAGGGTTGGCATTTTGGGTGAGGCACGAATTATGGGAGGGAGATTTGAGAGCGAAGGGATTTGTGAAAGTTCTAGTGCGGTGCATTAGCGCTATAGTCTGATGCAGCACAGTGCTTGAGCCGAAGCTGAAACGCGCGAAGTTATTCCTCCCGAAGTTAATCCTGGTCAGTTGCCTAGTTCCCTAAGAGCGTGTTACACCTGCTCTATTTTCAAGGATCACGTAGTTGAGATCACCATCACCCCAACCCCAGGTTTATGGGTAGCCAAACAAAATATTTTTGGGGCACATCACGATCCTTGTAGGTGTACCATCTGCAAATTTGAAGAGGTGATCCTCTGCGACCAGGCGACGTCGCCAGAAATTGAGCGAAGTCGCGAGCATAGGAAATTTGCATTGACCATGTTGACTGTGTTACAAACCCAGACGCAACAGCTTCATTGGTTCGAAGTTCCTTTTCAGAACGTTTTTAATGGTTGCGATTGTGTTACCGCTGTGCAATATGACTGCGACAGTTTCCTTTTTCGTGAACAAGGATCACCCTCTGTTTGGTACAGAGATGCAAAGATCACCGTGAGATTGGTAGTCACCACGATCTATTTTAAAACACAAAGATTGGGTAGCATAGACAACACATGATTTCGATCCTCCCTCTGTTGGTACAGCATCTGGTACAGTAATCTCTGTACAGTGGTAGGTGAGGCACTGTTCTGCAAGGATCGCCTAGACGATCCTCCATTTTGCGCGATCTTCCCCTAGGTGTACCACGCTCTCACTCTCATTATCCCCTTTTTCGTCAAGCAGTTACCCTTTTAGAAAGCAAATGGCTTATCAGGAAGAACTAGGGTAGTATGGAGAATGTAGAGCAATAGTGCTGAAATGCCATGGGGAGCCCCATGTTCCTACATATGTTACCAAATTAATGTTTTTAAAGCTACTACTTTAGTTGACTTGGAAATTTCTAGCCGTTTCGATTGATTTCCTACAGCCACCCGCCAGGCTAGCAGTGGCCGATATCGCGATTTTTACAGCAGTTTGTCCAAACGGGAATTCTTTACAATCGCATTCGTCACAGGGTAAAATGATGTCTCTAGCGCTGCGCCACATGCCAAGTGCATTCTGGAATGAGTTGGAGGCGGTGCGTTCGAGTCTGCTGGGCCCCGCCGCGACCCGCGAGTCCATCTCCCTTCGGGATCGACGGGGTAGCTATGATGTTGTTATTACTCATTATCGCGTCTCATGGGACGAGGAATAAGAGGCGGTGAGGGCGAGCCTGCTGGGCCCCGCCGCCACTCGCAACTCCTTCGGGATCGACCCGCTGTAGGTAGTAGGTGTAGCCGTATCCCCGCTGTAGTGCGATTCGTGATTCGTTACCGTGCCTTGTGAGGGAGAGCTTGATGGGTTGATCAGCTTCGCTAGCAGCCCACTGCTATCCCTGATATGAAGACATGCGTTATCTCCGAAATGAATTCTGATCCTACTGAGAGGAGTGAATTACGGTGAGTAAATTCCTAGCCGTCATGTCCTCATTTCCTCATTTTCACGTATTCATACCTCTGTGACTTGCGAAACTGCAAACCCTATTCCGCTCCCCTCCATTCCGCCCTTGCGTTTTGAACTGCCAGGTGGCAGCATGTCAGGTCAGGGGCGGGTTCCGGCCTCTGTGGACGTGACAGCTGGCATGCTCGCCGTGCAGCTGCAGGACCCGGACCTCTGGTAGGTTCGGGCGGAGGTGCAGGTTCGGAGTGGTACGTTCGGGTGACGTAGGTTTGGAATGGGTGCTGTAGGAAGGGCTGTGCTCAGGGCGTGTTCATAGAGTTTGTTTGAATGCGGCTGCGCGAGTTTATAGGTGCTTTTCTCCTCCCCTCCCCCCCACTCCTCTCTCCCTCCCTCGCATCACTTTCTTAAGGCGCTTCGCAAACTGCCCCACATGGTGCGTCCTCTCCCTCATTGCCGCCAGTCATTCTCTGCTACTTTCATCCATACATCCCCTTCCCCCATCCGTGCTTCACCATTCATTCTCTCCCATAAAGCAATCCATCCTTATATCCCTTCCACTCCCCTCCCCTCCCTTCCCCCTTTCCCCCAACTTCCCCAATCTCTCCTTCCCACCCGCTCCCCCCCCCCCCCCCCCCCCCCCCAGGCCGCCCCACATGGATCCGCCTCTCCCCCCATTCGTGCTCCGCCAGTCATATGCAACCGTCATCATTAGGTCAGTCAGCGTTGGCCCAACACACATCGTTGAAAAAGGTTCTGTGAGGTTCTGTGCGGTTTGTACGCTCCCGGCCAGCCAGTTATGTCCGGCCATCATAATAAGGCGAGTAATAACACACACCATTCCATATTCGCCGTGGTTTAGCCGTTTGAATGTGCCGTGATTGCGGAGCGGTTCTGTGCGGTCATGCGCTGCCGCATTATGACTTTCTCTCCATGTGCTGAGTGGTTCTGTGCGGTTCGCACTCCGCCAGGCAGCCATTCATGCACTGCCCCAACTTGCCCCGTCTTCCCTCGTGGAGACTCGCTCTTCCTTCATTGCACTGCCACGTGTAGGTTCGTGAGTGGCCTGTCACACAGACTCTGTGTGACAATACCAGCACTGGGTCGGTCGGTGGTGAGGGTGGCGGCACACATGGGCATCCCGAGACTGCTGGTGGATGTGCGGAATTGTAAGGCTCGTCTCAGTAGGGTAGGGCAACTCTCCGTGACACCTTACTGTGATAACTGTGCGTGCGTGCGTGCAGCCTTAATGTTACCACCACAGTGGAATGGAATGGAGTAGAGTCCAAAACACTGCAGATCAGTTAAACACTGCCAGTGTTGAGACTAGACACTGCCCTGGCGCTTACCCTCCCTCCCTCCTTACTCCCCTTTCTCCCCACCTTTCCCGTTCCCCTCCCGCTCCCCCTTCCTCTCCCCCCTCCCCTCCGTCCCCTTCACAGCCTTGGCTTGGCCCACATTCGCCTGCTGCAGCTGCCGGTGCTGTTGCGACTGGCTGTCACTCAGGTGAGAGGAAGAGGTGTGGATGGTGGTTGGTTGGGGAAGAGGGGCAGAGCGAGAGTCAGTGCACCCCACTCTGGAAGTATCCCCACCTTCTAAATCTGCCAGCTTTGAGACATTTCAAGCCACTAAACCCTGAACCCTGCTCCCTCCCTCCCCTGCACACCCGCCTTGGGATTGTTCCCACCTTTCGGTCTGCCAGGTGGCAGCATGGCAGGTCAGGGCCCGGGTCCCGGCTTCCGTGGACGTGACAGCTGGCATGCTCGCCGTGCAGCGGGCAGGACCCGGACCTCTGGTAGGTTTGGGGATGCAGGTTCGGAAATACAGGTTCGGGTATGTAGGTTCTCCCTCCCTCCCCCTCTCCCTCCAACCCCTCCCTTCTCCCTTTCCCCCCTCCTTCCCTCCCTCCCTCCCTCACGAGCATTCCTCCCTAACTCGTCAACTCCATCCATCCCTCCCTATCTCCCCCCTCGCTCCCCTCCGCAACCTCCCACTGCCAGGCCGCCCCACAAGGGGGCTGCCTCCGCCCCCCCATTTGAGCTCAACACACACGATTGAAAGATGTTATGTGCGGTTGTGTGCGGCTTATGCTCTACCAGCCAGTCCTATGGAGCCATCATCATCAGGTCAACCTTAGCCCAACACACATGGCATGTCAAAATTGCCTCTTTTCTCAGCCAGTTTATTTTGACTGCTGTCGGGTTCTGTGCGGTTCGTGCCCCGCCAGTCATATATCCAGCTGTCATCACCAGGTTGGTGGGTCCACCTAATCCGAGCGCAACGCACATGGCATGTCAGATTCACCATTCCATTCTATTCTTCCATTCTTCCATTCCATTCCATTCCCCTTTCTCCTAACCCTCCCCTCGCCTTCCCCCTCACCCTTTCCTTCCCTCTACCCTCCCCCCTGCACAGCCCCCTGCATCACAATCGCCCGCTGCAGTTGCCAGAGCTGAAGCACCCAATGCCATCCTTCCCCACCTTCCTCGCTCCGTCTTCCCCCAATCCTCCCCTTACGCTCCCGTTCCCCTTCCCCCTCCCCCTTCTCTTTCGCAGCCCTGGCCCACAATACCCTGCTCCAGCTGCTGCAGCTGAAGCTCCCCGTACCATGCTTCCGCTCCCCGTACCATGCTTCCTCTCCCCGTACCATGCTTCCTCTCCCCGTACCATGCTTCCTCTCCCCGTACCATGCTTCCTCTCCCCGTACCATGCGTCCTCTCCCCGTACCATGCTTCCTCTCCCCGTACCATGCTTCCTCTCCCCGTACCATGCTTCCTCTCCCCGTACCATGCGTCCTCTCCCCGTACCATGCTTCCTCTCCCCGTACCATGCTTCCTCTCCCCGTACCATGCTTCCTCTCCCCGTACCATGCTTCCGCTCCCCGTACCATGCTTCCTCTCCCCGTACCATGCTTCCTCTCCCCGTACCATGCGTCCTCTCCCCGTACCATGCTTCCTCTCCCCGTACCATGCTTCCTCTCCCCGTACCATGCTTCCGCTCCCCGTACCATGCTTCCTCTCCCCGTACCATGCTTCCTCTCCCCGTACCATGCGTCCTCTCCCCGTACCATGCTTCCTCTCCCCGTACCATGCTTCCTCTCCCCGTACCATGCTTCCTCTCCCCGTACCATGCTTCCGCTCCCCGTACCATGCTTCCGCTCCCCGTACCATGCTTCCTCTCCCCGTACCATGCTTCCTCTCCCCGTACCATGCGTCCTCTCCCCGTACCATGCTTCCTCTCCCCGTACCATGCTTCCTCTCCCCGTACCATGCTTCCGCTCCCCGTACCATGCTTCCTCTCCCCGTACCATGCTTCCTCTCCCCGTACCATGCTTCCGCTCCCCGTACCATGCTTCCTCTCCCCGTACCATGCTTCCTCTCCCCGTACCATGCTTCCTCTCCCCGTACCATGCTTCCGCTCCCCGTACCATGCTTCCTCTCCCCGTACCATGCTTCCTCTCCCCGTACCATGCTTCCTCTCCCCGTACCATGCTTCCTCTCCCCGTACCATGCTTCCGCTCCCCGTACCATGCTTCCTCTCCCCGTACCATGCTTCCTCTCCCCGTACCATGCTTCCGCTCCCCGTACCATGCTTCCTCTCCCCGTACCATGCTTCCGCTCCCCGTACCATGCTTCCTCTCCCCGTACCATGCTTCCTCTCCCCGTACCATGCTTCCTCTCCCCGTACCATGCTTCCTCTCCCCGTACCATGCTTCCGCTCCCCGTACCATGCTTCCTCTCCCCGTACCATGCTTCCGCTCCCTGTACCATGCTTCCTCTCCCCGTACCATGCTTCCTCTCCCCGTACCATGCTTCCGCTCCCCGTACCATGCTTCCTCTCCCCGTACCATGCTTCCTCTCCCCGTACCATGCTTCCTCTCCCCGTACCATGCTTCCGCTCCCCGTACCATGCTTCCTCTCCCCGTACCATGCTTCCTCTCCCCGTACCATGCTTCCGCTCCCTGTACCATGCTTCCTCTCCCCGTACCATGCTTCCTCTCCCCGTACCATGCTTCCGCTCCCTGTACCATGCTTCCTCTCCCCGTACCATGCTTCCTCTCCCCGTACCATGCTTCCGCTCCCCGTACCATGCTTCCTCTCCCCGTACCATGCTTCCGCTCCCCGTACCATGCTTCCGCTCCCCGTACCATGCTTCCTCTCCCCGTACCATGCTTCCTCTCCCCGTACCATGCTTCCGCTCCCCGTACCATGCTTCTGTTAGAATATAGCATAATGTATGTTTATATTTGTGCATGTGTTACACCCTAAAGTGGGTGTACACTTTGGGTCAAGGCGACCCAACCAATTTTGGTTGGGCGCCCCCAAACCCAACTCGACCGCAATTGACGGGGGGGGCCCAATAATGGTCCCCTCCAACGATTGTTGGTTACCCCAGCAATTGTTGGTCGACCCAATCTGATTGGTCCACCAATAAATGCTGAGGGTACCCCACTTCGTTCCCAAAACTTCTCATCTCCTATATGTACCGACACTCTTTCTAATCAAGACAACACTTGAGATTCTTTCATGGTATTCAGAGCCAATTGGCAAACGCCCCTCTCGACCTTTTTCTCTCAAGTTTTTTTTTTCCTCCCCGCTCGTCAGGACCCTTCCGTCCTGCCCATGCAACTTGTTGCGTGGGTTTGACTTGGTTGAAGTTCAATCTTCCGTAAAGTACAACCAGTCACCACCTCCCTCCAGCTCCTACTCTATCTCTCGTAAGGCGAATTTCTCGCCTCAGCTCCTGCCGCCGCATTTACGTTCTCAGCTGCCGGCGTCTCAATCGCCGCGACCTATCCGCCGTCGCCACTACTCTCGCACCGCTTTTCTTCCTTGCGGGGCATTTCGCCGCCGCCGCCGCTGCTTCTCTCGACGCGGGGCATTTCGCCGCCGCCGCCACTGTTCCCACTCGCCGCGGGGCATTTCGCCGCCGCCGCCACTGCTCCCACTCGCCGCGGGGCATTTCGCCGCCGCCGCCACTGCTCCCACTCGCCGCGGGGCATTTCGCCGCCGCCGCCTCTGCTCCCACTCGCCGCGGGGCATTTCGCCGCCGCCGCCACTGCTCCCACTCGCCGCGGGGCATTTCGCCTCCGCCGCCACTGCTCCCACTCGCCGCGGGGCATTTCGCCTCCGCCGCCACTACTCCACTCGCCGCGGGGCATTTCGCCGCCGCCGCCACTGCTCCCACTCGCCGCGGGGCATTTCGCCGCCGCCGCCACTGCTCCCACTCGCCGCGGGGCATTTCGCCTCCGCCGCCTCTACTCACTCGCTGCGGGCAATTTGCCGCCGCCACTGCCTCTCCTCGCTGCAAGACACTTCGCCGCGGCTGCTCCTACTCTCCCTCGCCGCCAAGCACTTAGCTACTGCCTCATCTCTTCCTCCCCGCCGCTCCCTCGACCCTTCCCCCCCCCCCCATTGCTTCCGCCCACCGTTTCCTCTCCCGCTGCCTCTCTCATACTATCTCTGCTCTCCGCCTCTCCTGCCACGCTACTGCTCCCAATCCTCTCCCACGTGCTGCTACTAACCCCCCTCCTCCTCTCCCTCAGCTTCTAACCTGCCTCGCTTTCGCTCGCTACTAACATTTTTTCTCCCCTCACATCGCACTAACTTACTGCTATGGCTGCTCCTTCTCTTCCTCAGAATTTCAACACTCTCTCCATTGATCGGCTCGAGCTCGCTCCCGATCAGAGCGCTATCAACTGGTACTCCTACACAGGGAGCATGCGCCACCTCCTCGGCGTCATCCACATCCCCAACACCTCCTCCACCCTCCTCGACCTTGTCCTCCGCCATGCTGCCGCTCTCCCGCCAACGCCCCCTATGTCCCCTGGATCGGCCCCCACTCTCCCGCCTGACCCTGGACCTGAACCTGACGAACCAGATCTGCCCGCTGCCTCCACGGATCCTGTTCGCCAAGCCGCTGATGAAGCAGCCTACGATCTCGAGCGGCGTCGGTTCCTCACGCTCCGAGCGGACCATCGTGCGGCTCGCGAGCAATACGACATGCGCCAAGCTGCCATAATAAATCACCGCACCATGGCTGACCGCTACACTCTCGCGCTCGCTGAATATACCGCTAAAGCTGCTGCTTGGAAGGAATCTGACCTTTCTGCCTCTAATATTATCCTTGGTGGTCTCCCCCCCGCTCTAATGCGAGACTTTCAGGAACAAGAGCTTCCCGCACCTGCCCTTTGGGCCTCCCTTCACGCCATGTTTGAGCGCCATGACGTCAACTCCGTGGGGCTGCTCCTTGACGAATACTGGGAGACAACGCTCGCAACCTGCACTGGTGCCGTCGCCTACACCGGCCGCATGACCTCTCTCGCCAAGCGACTTAAGGCTCGCCAGTCCGAACTCCCCCAGTTCATCCAGATAGATCGTCTTCTCCGCGGTCTCAACCCGTCCTACGACATGCACGTCATTGCCTTCCGCGAAAATCAGCCGTTTGCGGATGTTGCTGCTGTCGTTCAATGGATCATTAACACCGAAACCCGCCTCCTTCGTACCAACCCGCCTTCTCTCAACACGGCTCAAGCACCCGCGCCAGAACTCAACGCCACCCAGACACGCGGTGGTGGGCGTGGTGGTGGTCGCGGTGGCGGACGTGGAGGTGGGCGTGGTGGCGGCCGTGGTGGTGGACGTGGTGGCACCTTTGGTGGACGCACTCCTTCTGGCACGGGCGGCCCTGGAGGAAGTGGACGTGGTGGTAGCGGACCTGGTCAACTCCCCCCCTGCCCCTACGTTCGCAGTCACGGCCCTCGCGCTGGGGAACCCTGCGGTCAAACCAACCACCCCATAACCACCTGCTTCGGCGTCTTGGACGATGCCTGGTTTGATCGTGGTAACCATGGTACCCCCCCCCGCTGGTCCGCTCTTGCAAGTCGTCCCACTGTCCATGATGTTCAACATCTCCCTCTCTATCAACCCTCCCACCTTAACCTCACCACTCCCTCTCCTCAACTGCAACTCCAGCAGTTTTTGCAGCATCTTCAGTCACAGCAGTTGCAGCAGCCCCCGCAGCTGCCCCCACAGCCGCAGCCGCACCAGCAGCCACAGCAGCCGCCCTGGGGAGGTGGGGGAGGCGCAGCCGCCACAGCAGCGGCAGCGGCAGCAGCAGCAGCAGCAGCAGCAGCAGCAGCAACTGCCGCCTGGCAGCAGCAACCTCTTGGCTTCGGTTCTGCCGCCACCGCCGCCCATACCTCCCCAGCTGAGTCATACTCTAGCTTTCTTGGTCAGCTAGCTTCTCCCTTGCCTAGCACCACCTCCATGTATCCCTCTGTTCTTAATAACAGTGACTTCCAGTATTCTGCGTCTCCTTCCCCGCTCACCTTGGACTTTGTCCTCGATAGCGGGGCCACCGTCAGTGCCCTGAAGGACGCTGGCATTCTCAAAACACTATCTCTCCCCTCCACTGTTCATGGCGCTGATTCTAGCTTCTCGATCCCATGCACACACTCCTCTACTCTTCCGTGTCCCCTCTTTCCCTCCGGCACTATCACTGGCCTCCACATTCCCACTCTTCGTCACAACCTTATTTCTCTTCATGATCTCCAAAAAGCCGGCATTACCGCCATTTTTCCTGCCCACTTTTCCTATTGCGATCTCATTCATACCTCCACTGGCCGCCTTGTCTATCGCCTCCCAATCTGCCCCCGCACTCACCTTTACACACTACGTCTCCCTTTTCCGGCATCATGTCATCTCACCACCCGTCGCTCCACCTACCCTTCTCCCACCATTGCTCCTCCCCCTTCATCATCTCCCACTCCCTCTACCTCTCCCGACCTCTCCCTCTCTCACCCCGCCATTCTCCTCCATCATCGTCTTGGTCACCCCAACTTCACCACCCTCCGTGCCGCAATATCCTCTCGCCTCCTTCATGGGCTCCCCCCTGCCCTTCCTCCCCTACCCACCTCACCAGCTCCTCCTTGTCCCACTTGCATTCATGGCAAACTCAAACAAAAACCCCATCACAGCCATCCCTCATTTGCTACTGCTCCCCTAGATCTCGTCCACATGGACCTCTGGGGTCCCTCCCCCTCCCCTTCCCGCCAGGGCCACCGCTTTATGCTCGTCCTCGTAGACGACCATAGCCGCTACTCCTCTGTGTTTCTACTCCACACGAAAGCTGAAGCAGCCGCTGTCATCATCGCCTGGGCCGAACAAGCGCGCGTGCACTTCGGCCGACCCATCCGTCGCCTTCACTCTGACGGTGGCGGGGAGTTTCTCAACCATACCATTGCCTCCTACTGCAAAGCACATGGCACTCAACAGACGTCCACTCTCCCTCATTCTCCGCAACAAAACGGTGTAGCTGAAAGTCGCATCCGTGAGATCACCAAAACTGCCCGCTGTCTCCTCACCCATGCATCTACCCCTCCCTCCCTTTGGGGCTATGCTCTCACTCATGCCGCCCTTCTCACCAACCTCTACCCTCACCCCCACCATCCCAACCTCACTCCCACTGAGCTTTGGTGCAACTCCAAACCTGATGCCTCCGTCCTTCGCGTCTGGGGCTGCAAATCCTTTGTTCTCATTCCTCCCGCAGACCGTTCCCGCAAAGCAGGAAAACTTGCCTCCAAAGCATTGGAGTGCGTCTACCTCGGCCACAATCGTGGCTCTCCTGGGTACCTCTTCCTTCATCCTCCCTCCGGACGCCTCATTCGCAGCCGCGATGTCGTCTTCGATGAAACCATCCCCTACTACTCCTCTCCTCCTCCCTCCGACCCTCTCCCCCCACCCTCCCGCCCACTCACCTGGGCGGATGCCCTTCTTCCTCCTCTCCTCCCATCTGCTCCACTCCTCCCAACTACTCCACTCTCACCTCCACCTTCCTCGGCTGATATCTATGATCCTGCTGCCTCACCTGCCCTTTCCACCGCTCCCCCTCCTCCCTCTCCCCCTCCTCCCTCCCCTCCCACCCACCTCCCTCCAGCTTCTCCTCCTCCATCCTCGCCCGCCGCACCTCCTGCATCCTCCCCACGTCCTCGCACTTCTCTCACCTCACGCTCTCCCTTCCTCCTCCCACGCATGCACACTCGCTCCCTTGACCCCATTCTTGGTCAACCACCTCTCATTCATGAAGACTCCCATGAGGAGTTTTGTGCCATTCACACTCACGTTCCTTCCCTTAACCCTGTGTACCTTGCCCTTTTGGGCGCGGTTGTACTTGGCACTCCCTCCTCACCTCTCATCTTCACGCCTACCACATTCCAGGAGGCAATCACGTGCCCTGACGCTGACAAATGGCTGGAGGCCATTTGCAAGGAGTGCGACGCCTTCATTCGCAATGATTCCTTCGTCGATGTCAAGCCGCCTCCAGATGCCAACATTGTCGCTGGCAAGTGGGTCTTCCGGGTGAAGCAGCTTCCGGGGGAGGAGCCCGTCTACAAAGCCCGTTACTGCGCCAAGGGCTTCACACAGACCTATGCCAAGGACTTTTGGGAAACCTTCTCACCTACCGCAAAATTCGGGACCCTTCGCACGCTTCTCGACTTTGGCTCCCGCAACGGCATGGAGATCTCATCAATGGATGTCTCTAACGCTTTTCTTCAGGGGAACCTCCACGAACAAATCTTCCTCGACCGCCCAGATGGCTTCCATGAAGCCTTCCCACCAGACACTGTCTGGGAACTACGCCGTCCAGTCTACGGCCTGAAGCAGGCTCCTCGGGAATGGCATGCTAAGCTGGCATCTACACTCTGTGCTCTCGGATTTCAACCATCTCACTCTGACGCCAGTCTCTTCATTCGGACCCGTCCCAGCCGCTTCTTCGTCCTAGTCTATGTTGACGACATGGTGCTCCTCGCCGACACCTCCGCCGACATGACCGACGTTAAGGAAGAACTACAAGCTCGTCTCCAGTGCAAGGACCTTGGCGAATTACGCCACTACTTGGGCATGGAGATCACACGCGATCGAGCTGCCCGCACCATCACCTTATCTCAATCTCACTATCTTCAGCAGGTGTTGGAGCGGTTCGACATGGCTCTCGCCAACCCAGTGGCCACTCCCCTTCCATTCGGCCATGGGCTTGCTCCACCCACCTCCCCCTCCGCCTCCACTCAGCCCTATGCGGAACTGGTTGGCTCCATCATGTATGCCATGATGGGGACCCGTCCCGACCTCGCCTACCCCATCAGCGTCCTGGCGCGTTTCGTCGGTACCGGTCGTCACACCTCCGTGCATTGGAGAGCCGCCAAACGAGTCCTACGCTACCTCCGTGGCACTCAGGACCATGTTCTCACCCTTGGTGGTGCCTCTCCCCCGCTCCTCACCGGCTTCAGTGACTCGTCTTGGGCAGACTCTCAGCCGGATCGCCGCTCTTCCCAAGGATATGGCTTCACGCTCGGTAGCGGCTTGGTCAGCTGGCGCTCCACCCGCTCCTCCGCCATCGCCCTCTCATCTTGTGAAGCCGAACTCTATGCTGGTACCATGGCTGCGCAGGAAGGACGCTGACTTTCCTTCTTGCTAGCCGAGCTTGGGGCCCCCCAGCCATGCCCCACGCTCTGGTGCGACAACGCCAGCACGATCCACCTCACCAAGAATCCGGTCTTCCACGGGCGCTCCAAACACATCGAACTACGCTACTTCTACATTCGCGATCTTGTCCAGCAAGGCCATCTTGCCGTCCGAAAAATTGCCGCCGAAGCCAACCTCGCTGACATCTTCACCAAAGCTCTTCCGAAGCTAGCCCACCGGGCCTTCCTTCGCCTTCTTGGCCTCTCCCCGGCTTCATGATTCCGGGGTTGTGCACACTTATAAACCTCTTATGCTACGGGGTTGTGTTAGAATATAGCATAATGTATGTTTATATTTGTGCATGTGTTACACCCTAAAGTGGGTGTACACTTTGGGTCAAGGCGACCCAACCAATTTTGGTTGGGCGCCCCCAAACCCAACTCGACCGCAATTGACGGGGGGGACCCAATACTGGTCCCCTCCAACGATTGTTGGTTACCCCAGCAATTGTTGGTCGACCCAATCTGATTGGTCCACCAATAAATGCTGAGGGTACCCCACTTCGTTCCCAAAACTTCTCATCTCCTATATGTACCGACACTCTTTCTAATCAAGACAACACTTGAGATTCTTTCAGCTTCCTCTCCCCGTACCATGCTTCCGCTCCCCATTCCTCACTCCCTCCACCTTCTTTCCACCCGCCCGCTTTTCTTCCCTCTCTGTCTCCCTTCCATTCCACAGCCCTGGCCCACAATCGCTTGCTGCAGCTGCTGGTGCTGCGACTGGCTGTCACGGAGGTGAGTGGGAGGGGTGTGGATGGTGTTTGTGATGTGAGAGAGAAACAAAGAGAGGAACAGAGAGGAGAACAGAGAGAGGAACAGAGAGAGGAACAGAGAGAGGAACAGAGAGAGGCACAGAGAGAGGAACAGAGAGAGGCAGTGCACAAGTGAGGGTGGAAGGCGGGAGGAGATGGAGGAAGGACGGGGAGGGAGTAAGGAGTAAGGGTTCTCTGCTGCAGCTGCCGGTGTGCTACTTGCATTCACTCAGGTGAGGGGGAGGAGTGTGGATGGTGGTTAGGAGGACTGAGTGAGGGTGTAGAAGAGGATTAGGGGAGGGGGGAAGGGGGGCGAGAGGGCGAAACTTAGTCGTGATGAGGTGGAAGCAAGGGAAGGGAAACGCTTGGTGCAGGGAGGCAAGGCACAACTTGCCCTGCTCTGGGCTGTTACTCTTTCTCCCCTCCATCATGCCAAATCTAAAACATTTCCCCTCCTCCTGTCTGCATGTTCCAAGAGTCCAAGGCTGACTGCTGCCCCGCGTGTCCCCTCTCTGGAGCTCTTCAATCCCTGCATCATTCCACCCTCCCTCTCCCTTCCATTCCACGCCCTGGGCTGCCTAGTGGATATACGAGCACGCAAATTCTCCTGCTGTTTGCGCTACCAATGCTGCTGCCGGCACCAGATTCCTGCCGGTCAGTTAGTCAGTTAGTCAGTCAGTCAGTCAGTCAGTTGTCAGTCAGTCAGTTAGTCAGTTAGTCAGTCAGTTAGTCAGTGAGTAAGTCAGTTAGTCAGTCAGTCAGTCAGTCAGTCAGTCAGTCAGTTAGTCAGTCAGTCAGTCAGTCAGTCAGTTGTCAGTCAGTCAGTCAGTTGTCAGTCAGTCAGTTGTCAGTCAGTCAGTTGTCAGTCAGTCAGTCAGTCAGCCACAGCTCAACACACACAGCGTACGATATTCGGGACGCCGTGTACAATCTATT